AAGACGGGCCGCTCTTCGGGCACCGCTTTCGTCGTCTTTGACCGCAAAGCCGACGCTATCGTCGCCTTTAATACTTACCAAAACATAACTCTCGACGGTTTGTACTCAACATTTCCTCCGCCTCTTCGGCTATCGGTTCACGGCTTGATCTATAGTAATGTGTTTGTTGTCCACACTTACAGGTCGTCCGCTTCGTCTGACACTAGTCGATGGCAACAGCTCTGGAGGCCATCAAAGGGCGGGTAATCTGAACTCTCGCCTCAAGTCGGGCCCCAAACCGGTATTCAAGGCGTCGGGTCGTGACCTCTGGAATGATTTGGCGAAGGGTTACGACTCGAGTCCCGCCGAAGAGCAGGGATTCAATCGAAACAAGAGATCACATAATTTCTATGAGAAGAAAGAGAAAGTGATGTTAACTACTGATGAGTTGGACACCGATCTCGACGACTATTTGGCGCAAAGAAACAAATAGTGATCACTTTAAGTGGTCTTATATTTCCATTTAAATCATTATTTTTATAAAACATTTGACATTTCATTATATATTTTGTGTCCATTTTTGCAATAATTGTTTTTTTCTTGAAGATATTGTGTTTTGAGTTATAATTAACGTTATATTTAGTGACAAATTAATGATTACAACATTTAATCTGCATTTCCTTTCAATCATTGATTTTTCACTTAACATTTGATTTTTGTTTGCATTTTTAAATCTATGAGTATTTTAATGATTACTTATAGTTCACATCATGAATAGTGTACTGTATTACTAAAGTTGACTGTATTGACCAAATAAATCCATTTCATTTTGCATTACATTTTCTGATAATTGTTTTTATTTAATATTAATTATAATTATTACTAAATATTTATTATTAATTATTATTAATAATTAAATCAAGTATTTGTTTACAAAACGTAAGTAAATGTTTGCATCCCTTTGACTGTATAGTTAACAATAATGAGTGAATACAGTCTACACACGATTTAGTGAACACTAATTGTGGAGACCGTAGGACTGAATAAAGCCGTCAATACGTGTGTGAGATATGACTGACGTTGAGTCCAATGAGTGACGCATTGAGTGATCGGTTCACACATTGAGTGCCAAAAGAGTGGACCCGAAGACTGACCGCACGATTGGAGACACGAATGGACACAATGTTTGACTTTCGGTCGCCGGAGACCGAAGTGACCGAAGCCACGGATCAGGTGTTGACCGACGTATTGATGGCACTGAACGACGCGAACCGACAAGAGTTGGAACAGATTGACAACAATAGTGTGAATATGTGTCGCTTCCGATGCACTTCAGGAGTGGTCCAGAATGTGATGACAATCTGTCACGTGTTAGAAGTGGACAATTGCGTCAAATACGGCGCCATTGAACTGATGGACAAACTGTTGGTCACTTTGGTCTGCGATACGAAACGCGTGTACTTCGAGACCATTCAGACACTGGTCCGCGACGGCGACCACAGCGGCGGTCC